GTCCTTATGTCCTTGAGCTTATGGCATAGTTGGCATATTGAAGAGAGAGAGAAAAGCGCTTCTTTCAAGAAAATTACCATATAAGGAAATTTTCAAGAAATCGGTGGTGAACGGGTGAGAGTTTTTTTTTTTTTTTTTTAAAACTGATGGTTTTACTTTTTATTATAATATTTAATAAATATATAAATATAATATATTATATATATTTAAAATTTTTAATTACTATTTGCTTCTTATTACTATAACTTTAAATACATATATACTTTTGTTGTTTTATTTAGTAATTGATTTATTTTTTTTTGTAATTAAATATTTACTTATAAAAAAATTTGTGTTCTATAGATATATTTGTTGCAGATATTGTTAAATAACTATATGTAATATATGTTAATTGTAAAAATTGTCCTTTATTTATTTTTTACTATTTAAAATATCTGTTTTTTCTATTATATAGGATAATGAAAAGTATAGTTACAATTTATTTTGTTTTTATATATATTATTATTTAAATAATTTTGTTTTAATTGTATTATATATTTCTTTTATATTAATTGTTTTTATAAATTTTGAATTTAATTTATCATATTTTTGATAAATATCATTAATATTATAAAATTGAAAAAATATTTAAAATTAAAAATTGTATTGTATATAAAAATAAAAACAAATATAAATATTCATTTTTTTTTATTTCTTTTATCAAATCTTAAATAAAAGAAAATAGGAACAGAATAAAGAAAAATAAAAGAAAATATTTAAAAAAATATTAAATAAAATAAAAAAAAAATAAAATTCACAAGTTAATATATTGAAACTTTTAATTATTTTCTTAACAAATTTCAAAATTATTGATAAAAATAATTTTTAATTCTTAATAATTTAATTTATTCAATATATATTCTGTTTCAAACACTATTAAACAAATTAATATAAACAATTTAAAATTATTGTTTTAATTAATTTTACAACTCTGTTTATTAATAATATAATAAATGATATTTTTAGATCAAATTATAAAATACTAATTCAATTCCATATAAAGATAATTAAATAGAATTAATATAATATTTGATATTATAACTAGTTCAATATTGTTTTTTATAAGAAATCAATTTATATATTAATCTAGTAAATGTTAGAATTATAACTTTTAAAAAAATATAGTAATACAATAATTATTAAAGCAAAAAAGTAACATATTTAAATATATATATTAAATTGTATTTTATTATAATCAATTTCAATTAATAACTTTCTTTTTTATAATTAGTTTTAACTTAATTAGACAAAGAAAACTTAGAAGTATCATAAATCAATTTTATTAATATATTCTGTTTATACTTAAGCTAGATTAGCAAATCAGATGGTTTAAATTAGTAATAGAATTTTCATACTTTAAATAAGTCTTTTTAAAAATTATAGATTCACTTTAAGAGTATATATTATATTGCTGGGTTTAAAGCAAATATATTGTGTAGAATAATTAATATAAAATATATAAAATACTAGTTTGTTAAAGTTTTTGAATGTAATTTTGATATTATATATAATATATAATAAAATATGAATAGAATACAATATACAGTATATCGAATATTAGTGTTTATTTTAAATAAAATATTGTTATAAAATTAGAATCATATTTGTATAACTTTAACTTTTAATAAAAATAAATAAGTTTTTTTTTTTAATTAGTTATATACTGTATATGTTTATAATAATAATATCAAAAAATTATATATATATATTCAGTATATATTATTAACTTGCAATATTTGTTAAAAAAGAATGTTTTATTTTATAAATGTTATAAAGTTCAAGAATTACTGACGCATTATAATATAAATTTTAATTAAAAATCGATTAATTAAAATTTGAAAATCATGGTTGTTCTTTAATTACGCATATGAAAAAAAAAAAGGTTGTAATGATTGTTTATTTTATTTTTATTTTTGTGTATTTGGAAAATAAATTAAAAATGATTAAATCAAAATAATAGGTCACAATATAATGTAATTCATCATATAACAATATTTATTCATCATATACATTATTTATTGATCATATAACAATATTTATTTATTGTATATTTATTATAAAATGTTCAATTGAAAGTGCTTTGTTATTGAATTGGATTTTATAAAATAATTACGGTATGTTTGGTATGTTTGTACAAATATTTTTTATTGATCACTTAATCATGCCATATGTACAGTATATGTGGTAAGTGTCTTGATAAAGAAACTCGCCTGATAAATCAATCGATTACAAGTTCAAAATACAATAATGCAGCATATTCATAGAAATGACAGTTTGTCTATCTACTACTTTATTTACTGTATATCGATTATTATTAGAAACCAGATTAAATCTTTTTAACGGTGTGTGATATAAAAAGGATTAATTTTCAACTGGTAACAATAAAATGAAATAATAATAATTTAAAGATCTTAGAGCATTGTTCTTTAAAAGTTTTTGAAGAAATTCGAAGATGTCGACCATTCTTTCTTCCCAAACAAACAAACGATTTTGACAACAATTTATTCACACAATGATAGATACGAATATGTAAATTGGATCATTCGGGTTTACCGATAGGAAATAAACATAAAGTAGATATCATATGTTAAATGCTGTAATACTGTACGGTACGTGGGGTTTACATAGCCGGAAAAAAACTAGCCAATATAATTCATGATCGGTGGGTTAGTCGATTTACGAATTATTGTACCGATAATTTTCTTTCTGCATTATTAAAAAGAAATGTTTCATCATACTTAGCACAATTTTATATGGTTTTAGCAGAATTTCATCATCACAAAAAAGGTGTGAGCAGATAGTAAGCCTAGTACCGATCAATGTTTTAAAAATTCGAATACACCACAAGTCGCATTATTCTTTTTCGTGTGTATCGATTCACCCACGACTTAGGGTAAATTTATGTAATGAAATATTGACCAGTAATACGCTGCATATCCGTATACAACAGTACTGTATGGATTTAATTTCCGTTCATTGAGGATTTTTGTTTGTAACCGGTACGTAAAATTGGGTCAGCGTGTAAGCCTGGTTTACGTCGTAACACAAGATGGCATGTCCTGCACCGCTTCATCACCTCACCTTGCTTTCATACAATTTTCACGCTAAATTTACAGCACAGTTGACATATGCGATTACAAAAATGTCCCATTAAAAAAAGAAACCAAACTAAATTCTTTTCATTATCTGAACATCACCATGCCTGGGATCTGATTAGGACGCGGTGCAAAAATCGAACGTAAAACAAAGAAATTCAACCTCACACATCAGAACTAGCTCAAGGGCATGCTCGTAATCTAACGATAAATTCCACACATCACGAAAGGAGACCAGGCGTAAAGTTTGTTCGTATTATTTTAAACGCCAAACTATCTATATTATATGTAAGAATTAATGCACAATGAATTCCGACATTTTTTATTGTGAAATGATTCATTTTAATAATTGGAATATTCTTTTTTATTAAAATGTGGTAGAGATCTCGGTTCATCCATTGTTCAAAAGACTGTCGTCCCGATACGAATGTGCAAGGTAATGTCAAAGGTTGACCATTCTGGATTCGTATTCGAGACTCGGAAGAAGATAAATTCGTGACAATCATTTCAATTGCGAGAGTTTCAAAAAAGATTTAAATACGGTGGACGCTGGATGCCCTTCCAGTTCACCATCACCTATAAACTTTCAATAAATCCGTACCCTCTGCTCACTCATTGGATGTCTGGGAACATCATTTTTTCCTTCTTTTGCATGTAATCAAACCAACCCGTTTCACGAAATGTCATAAACAATATTATCCATTTTGCGAATGGAAATGTTTTCAGGGAGGGTTGTTTCATCATGAGGTAGGCATCATGGATACATACGCACCCCTTGATGATTCCGAAACTTTGGATTAATGTGTCCAATTTTCTTTTTTCCTTTCAGACGAATCAATTATTGATGCTGCGAGTGTTGCGTTTTTCTTCATGCATTAAAGGAAAGTTGAGGGTAATGATTGATATACTGTATATGTATACGGTATAAGCATTAAAGAAATATATATACGTTGGGATTCGTAAAGTGATCATTAAATCCCATCCGACACCAAAGATAGAAAACTCGCGCATCTCTTTCCTAATGAAATAAATCGTTATAATTTAACTCGTTTCGATACTATTCTCGTTTACAATTTATCATATCTTTTATGCGATTATTGTTTTTTTTTTTTACGTTTACCTTTTCCTTTACGATATTCATAAGCAAATAACAAAAACGTTCCTTCTTAACGTGTCTAGCTAAGAACTAGTCATTCGATTCGTTATCACCTATATATATAACGCGCTTCAAGACAAATTATTTTTATCACACACAAATCTCGAATATCTTTTATTATTATTTATTATTGTTGTTATTATCTATTATTACGCTTCGTTTCTTTTTCATCCGTTTTTTTCTTTCTTTCCTTCCTTCTTTCTTTCTATCAAAAAAAAAAAAAATACGTAAAATATAAAAAAGTAAAAAAAAAATAAAATATTGAACGTACAATGTTACCTATCGACTTTTTTTTTTTGTGTGTGTGTTTGTGCGTGTTCTTAGCCTGATGCTATACTGTAACGCACTAATCAAAGTCGCAGGATCCGCGAAAAAACATGAGCATGCAATTGGTTATCACAAGTTTTCAGGCGTTTATTTGTTTTTCTCGCGGAAAAATAATTGACCTGTTTGTTAAATACGTACAGTTTAAATACAGTAATTACTTTTTTTTTTTTTTTATTGACTACATTAATCTTTACTTTTATTGTATTATCCTATTATTGTCGTGACCGTCTAGGTTTATCCTGCAACCAGGATTTTCTATTGGAAACATCGTCTTCACTGTAGTTCATTAAGTGAGATTCGATGCTTTCTTGTATTTCAATATATGTTTCCGGATGTTTCAATAAATTTTGTCCCGGAAGATTAGATAAATGCAAAGAACGACCAAAACTCAGGTGTCTGGAATTACGCAAAGATGATGGAATTGATGAATTGATGCTATATTGTTCATCCAAGTTTTGACTCGATCCGCAACCGATGGTTGGCTCATTATGACGTTTGGAAGAATCGACGCTATTGCTCTCTCCGGGAGAGTAGCACGTTGTTGACGTATCACTCGTCACGCCGAGACTCCGGTGACGTCCTGGATATTTGGTTTCTGCGGATGATGGTTCAGGTGTGACTTGTTCGGTGTTCTTCTTCGAAGGAGCGTAACCTCCCGGACTTGTAGAATCCGTGACAGCCGAACAAGATTTCGTGGAATTCGTAACGACCGAGCATATTGGGTGAACTTTGGAAGACGTTAGAGCGGATTGCCGCACTTCCGAAACTGGTCTATTGATGTTTTCGAACACCATGGCAAATGCTTGTTTTTCCAATTCGGCTGGTTTCAACTGAATACTAACCGGGGATGGTTTGATGACGCTAAGAAAAAAATATATCGCCAATGATGAAGTAATCTCCTATTTCTAATAGAATAGAGGTCTCCTCCGACTTACTTGTAAACGATGATGAATTGTGCAATCTGAAGGAAGAGAGGTTCAACAAAATTCCATATAAAGAAGTAAGATAAATTCGTGTAATAATTGTTCTGCGTTATTGTTTTCCGCCTGACGCCAAAAGTTAAGAACAAGATCAGGAGGAATAACCCTACAATGGTGAACACCACTACAACTGTTGAAAGCTGAAAAGGAAAGGTTCGACGTCAAGTTACATGAACATTTCTCGCTTTCAACATTTTTCAGTTACTTACATTTGTCATGGCGGCTTCCAGAGTTTCCAATTTCCACTGAGATCTAATATCTTTCTTGATTCGTTTTTTCAATTCACTCATGTGATATTTCAAAAGTGAACTTAACTTTTTCCAGAAATACAGCAGTGCCGATAGATACATTAAAATCCAGACACACCACACTACATAATGGGTTATAAATAGCATGTTGGCAATGTCCAGTCTGTCATTTTCCGCAAAATATCCTGTCATATATGAAATCGGTGTGTTAACAAGGAAGGGTCCCAACATTAGACACAATCCTCCCACATCCACAAGATGTTTATTTGGCGTGAGTTTTTTGAAGTGATCGTTGGACGGTTCTAGTGTAGGGATTGAATAAACTACAGAATATTTTCGGTCGTTATTCGCACGTGATACACGATAATTGGGAAACATGGAAAAATCGTTCGCTTACTGATTCCAATGCAATACAAAACTCCACAGAGGAATGATATTTGCCTTGGTAAGTCGTCCATCACTTTTGTCGGATTGGAAGAAAAAGATTGATTTAAAAGAGGAATTCGCTCGACCTAATAATTGTCAAACATACATACATACCTTCGGCAACCGAGTTATTGGGATAAGCGTCATTCAACAAAAAGATGTAACGTATTATTGACAATAAGGTGAAGGAAACGACGACGAGATGAAATGCATCGTGCGGCCTTGGTCGTAAAATGCCTCGATCTCTCGATGAAGGGAAAGTCAGGGATTGTCCTTTGTAATAAATTCGATACCAAAGAAACCAAGCAGATGTGGCTGCAATTAAGGTCGCGTAAGGTATCAACGCCCAATACGCTGTTCGCAAAATGTAGGATTCCACGCAATTGCTTGAATTTATGCGGAATTCACATGTACAACTCATTAAAATTGTCACGCCGCTTTCATTGTCAATATGATCTGAATCCTTACAGCTCAAGCTAAATCTATTGATCAATTGCACCATTAAGATTGTGGGAGTTGGTGATTCCCCGTTATTATAGAATGCTTAATTGCGGTGCGTAAATCCAGCAATTGAGATTCATGAAAGAAGTCAAAAAGAAGAAGGTCGCACGGACGTGCAGAACTTCCGAGGATACAAAGGTTCGTAAGGTTGAGGGGTGTTGGTGGAGAAAAAAAAAATGTGACGTTAGTGATAGCGGCAATGATAACGATACCCGCGAAAAGGTAAGAGGGACGATGGAGATCAAATGGTGAATCCTTGAGATTCTTTTTCCAATAAAATCTTGAACAAGTGACACACAGTTTGTTTTTATTTTGAGGAGGACAAGTGACACACAGTTTGTTTTTATTTTGAGGAGGACAATGCCAAACGTACGTCTACGAGTAAAATGTTTGTGCTAGTAAAATTTCCCTAATTATGGTATGTTCCTTTTCGAGTATTCCGCGTGTATCGCAAAGTTGGATGCGAATCCTTTTGGAATATCCGCGCAGCTCTAAAACGAATTGTTTCTGTGTAACAGGGTTCGGAACGTGGACCAAAAACATTATGCACCTACAAGAAATTTGCGTCCGAGTTCGGGAATAGCAATTTCCATTAAAGCATATGCTGTCACAGATTAGGTGCATACAATTCAATAGGATTTTGTTTTGATTTGATATCTCACAAGGATGCCACCGGCATAATGAGATGTTCGGTGTTCTTTAGCTCTCGTAAAATCGGTCGCACACATTCACCCTGATAACAAATGAATGAATGGGACGCAGGAATTATCTAGTAAATAGTCGATCGTGCACCCTGGATAAGGTTATTAGCGACACCAATGAAAACTGTGAATTAGGTAAGGGCACCCTTATGTCTTATGTCATGATAATAGTGTGATTAGGGAAATTCTTCATCATGTTCCGGTGGAACGACGCTTAGTAGAAGATCAATTTGGAGCTTTGACATCTTTCTTTCCTTCTCTCCTTTTCTCTCTCCCCCCCCCCTTTTTTTAAGAAATCGTTTCTGAAGATCGCCTATCGGAATTTTGCAATTAGATGAACGAGATGCGGTTACAAATCCGCGCCATATCCCAGAAAAATTCTTTGTTGTGTTACAAAGTCACAAACGTTGACATGTGGTAACAAAATTTAGTGAGGGTAACATATCTTTGAAGTTGTGGTAAATTCTCTTGATTTTATCATTTCAACTTTCTTGGAGACAAGCGCGTCGAACGATGCATCTAACCTTTCGGACAGTTTAACAAAAATAATAGACGACTGATAATAACATTTCCCTTTCTTAATTAAAAAATGACTGTGAATAATGATGATAACACAACTTTCTTTCTTCTATCGGAGGAGGAGCTCGATCAGCTTACCCAAATCATAATTCCCATCATCCTTGTCTCCATCATTGCTTCCGCAATCATGTCCGTGGTTTTTATACTCATCCGGATCTATTATCCCCCTTTGGCCGACAGGGTTTCCTTCAGGTTAGGATTTGCCACCATGGTCAGCGATCTTTTTTATATGGCTTTTCAATTAGTTGGAAATCTCGCAGAAAATGAACCGGGATTCATGTGTTCATTCATGGTAAATGCCTCTTTTGGGGGGTCCGCATTTATGTGAATCTATACATCTAGATTATATTAAAGTTTTCCCTACTTCAAATCGATAGGTCTGGGGGTTGGTCAGTTCCAGTTTGATGTCGGTTTTCTTCACAGCATGCATCGCAATTGTAGGTTTGAGGATGAAATGATTTGTATTTTCTCTCTGATCATGTCTAATTCCCAGCTGATGGATGATTTCTTTCCACCACAGAATCTCCAAACGATATTCGTTCATGAATATAAAGGAAGGCGTAATTTGGAAAAGTACTACTTCATCTTTTCAATTGGAATGGCTCTTCTACTCTCTTTCCTTCCACTGACGCAAAATATGCTTGGATTTGATGTTCCCGAACAGTACGTACATTCCTATACTTCGCGTGTCATATTCATTTGTGCATCCTTAAACTTACGAAATCTATCGTTTTAGGGTCTGCTGGTACAAGGATTCCGGAATGAAATACAACATCATATGGCAATGGGCAACTTTATTTGGATGGATAGAATTGTGTGTATTATATTGCGCCATAATTGTAATTACAGTCGTGATAAAGCTTTACTTTGTCGCCAGCCGATTTGAGAAAACGCTTGAAGTTCTGCCTATCACAGACCCTTCAAAAGATGAGCTTAAAAAATTTGCGAAAAAAAGTCCTACGATTTCCATGGTGGTCAGAAGGGTGCTCTGGTATCCGGTGGTACCAATAATCACCCAGACACCCAACTGGTTAGTCGAAACTAGCATTTATCTTCAACAAAGAGCTTCCTATTCTATGTTTCTTGTCTGCTTCGTGGCTATTGCGATGCAAGGTATTCAAACCGTTAAATTATCTCTACTTTCACACCACATTACATGACTAATCAGGTTGGATTTTCGTAAACCTTAGGTTTACTAAATGCTTTGGTATTTTCCCAAGACATTGCGGTAACACGTGCAATCCAATTAAAAAAACTTAATTGGTGGTATAATTATGTAAACGCCTATGAACAAAAGTATCCGCATTTGTCAAAAAACAAACGAATCGAATCTTCCAAGAAATCACGCACCGACTCAAGTAACAATAATACGAACGTCACTGATATTCTTCCGGAACAATTGTCGGAAAAAATGGAAATTGTCCGGAAATCGGAAGGGTCAGAGAGTGCATCCAATCCGACATTTCTTGAAAAGCTACGCTATACATTGTTGGTCAAGTTATTTTCAACTCCCGAAGAAACTGACCTATTGATCTCACTTCAACATACACTTTCATCAATCGATGAGACGAAACCTGAACCAGAGGAATCGGCGAGGAAACGAAAATTTCTTTCTTTACCTGTGCCAAAAGATGCTCTCATTAGAAGCCAGAAATTTCTTTCCTTACAAATGACATCCCTAAAACCTTCCACGGATCCTGAACAGGAGCACAAAATATCTTCTGATTTCTCGAGTTCCCCTACAGTTACTCCCAATTTCCAAGATTCCAGCAGTGATCACATCAACCCACCATCAGAACCACCGACCTTTCACACCAACAATACCTTCTCTCACTTAACGTACACCGATCTACTATTGGAGTCAACTTTTCACGCTAAAAAAACTTTCCGTCACTCAACGATCGGAGCCGTAACTCCTAATTATGCATTGATTGGTGATGAGAATCCATTGCCAATGTCAAAACTCCTACAATCCCCTAGTTTGCGAAGGAACAAAAAAACATTGAGTATTAACTCAACAAAGTCTCCATCAAACCGACCAGGTTATCCCTCAGTTGCAAATAAAAACACAAATAGAAATAATCGAGGAACGTCTTTGACGTTTGAGGAAATAAATGAAGAATCTGATCAGGAAATACTATCACCTTCATTTACCAAAATGTTTAATAAGAAACCATCATTGGAATACGTCCATGTTTTAAAGAAGTTATAGCAATTTTTTTTTTGATATAATTTATTAAGGTGTATATATAGCTAAGAGCAAAAAAACAAAAAAAAAAAAGTTTAAGCCATTCCTGTGACCTATTTATCACTAATTAGCAAACATCAACAAAAGCCTATACATGCGGTTGATAATGAGTAAAATCAAAATGTCGACTGAAGCAATCAGTCCAATTACCTTGGAAAAGTTTGAAGATAGAGTGAAAGGAGGCAATTTTCTCCATAAAAATATACGTACTGGAAAAGCTGAGGAAAATGATGGTTATCCGCGGAATTTACCCCAGGCATCTCGAGTCAGAAGAACAAGAGACGCTAGCAAACTTGCATTCTATCTTGGGATACAACTGGTATTTGATAGGTTCCTTTGCAAAATGTACTGGATTTACAACAAAATCCAGTTACAAAGCTGAATTCAAAGCATAGAAGTACGTTTTTAGTTATCATTAAAGCTGCAAGAGTGATGAACGGAAATAACATTTAATTTCTCTTTTGACATTTTTAGTGCCCGCTGAATGCAGATGTTCAAAGAAATCTTTACATGCATTATTTCCGAACAATTGTCAAAAATAAAATATTCATTCAGTACATACTTTCTACTTTGCTATGTATGATATATTTGATAATATCATTTGGATAAATTATACCGCTATGATATTATTACTTCCTTTCCAAACAGACCTTTCTATCTTTGTGACAATTGAAAAATTTTCATACAATAAAAAAAAATACAATAAAAAATCAAAAAAATCGATACAGTATCCATAAAAAAATACACTAAACTAATAATCTTTTTGTAAAATTTCAACTACAGTGGCCTACCATATTATTGTGGACATTTTTTTTTATAGATTATTTTAAATCTAGTAAGTAAACATAGTTTGAAATTTTTATGATTTACTGTATTTAATAAATCTAAAATATAACATATTAAAATTTTATGCAATTCTATTTTGTTATGCAAAAGTTATGTAAAAGACAAGTCAAGTTACTTTTTTTAGATAGAACTGGTTTTTTTTTATTTGTTTTTTCCAGTAGTCACTTCAAAGTTGCATATCAAATTTCTTTAAAATATTTTGTTTTATCTAAAGAATATTATGTAATATTAAAAAAAGCATTTATTCATAATGACACTAGTATAAATTAATTTTTTTTTATAGATAATTTGTGGCAAGATGACTTGTCTCAAATAATAGATAGTAAAAAGAACTTGATTAAAAAACAAAAGGGTTTCATAATTTATAGTTACTTAAAAAAAGATTCAATTTGTACTATTGCAACAGTTGTTAATTGTAGAAGGTCTTTTAATTTAATGTTATAAAAAAGTTTTATAAGTCAAGTGCTTTGGAGACCTTTAAAAAAATCATTCTGGATATTCTAAAATCTTCACTTTCTTTAATTATATTAATCTTAAGCACATAGTTTTCAATGATAATTATTATTTTAATCTAATCCAAAGTATCAATATTTTAATATTTAAAAAAGAAAAAAAATCTTTTCTATTTCTAATTATACCATTTTTATACAAGACATAACAAAAACTTGAAAACTTGTATTGCTTATTTAAAATTATTTGTCTTTTTAAAAAAATACAATAATGAAATTTAATTAATATCTTGTTTATAAAAATTGATTTATTAAAAAATTTTATTATTTTTTATATCTAATAAAACTATTGTTTGTCTTTTTTTTTAGATTTTTCTAATTAAGCTAGCAGAATTCATATAAAAAGTAGAATATTGAATATTTAGATAATATTTTCAAATATAGTCCATGTTGAATATATTGGAATTGCTTATTTTAATATTGTATTGGATCCTTTATTCCATTAAATTCTATTATTACTGATATATTGCATATTAACATTCTTCAAAATATGTTTTATTAGCTTCAGAAAATTTTAAAATTATAAGAATTATTATTTATTCTTTCAACAGAATAATATAAAATTATATATTGCAAAATAGCTATACAATTCATTAGATTGAATAGAATTTGTATAATGAATTAACTTCTATAAGATTTCAATCTCTATTCCATTAAGAATCTTTAAATCAAGATAAAAAAATCAGTATTTCATAAGCCAAAATCAAGTAATTTCAATTAGTTTGATATTCTTATTAAACAAGTATAATATAATATATTATCAAAATATTGTTTCAAACATATCTAATCAAATTATCACTTGCATTAAAGTTAAGAGAAATTTATAAAATACTAAAATATAATAGTTTAATTTTTTTATAATATTTAAATTTTCCTATTACAAATTATAGAGTATAAATACAATTATCTATATTATTCTAAGAAATATAACAAATTTAATTACTTTGATCTCTTTTAAAATATAAAAAAAGAGTTTGAAAACAATTTGTCAAAACTATCTCTATTTTCAAATTCAATTTTTTTATAAATAAATATCAAAATTTTGGCAGCTTAAGCCAACCGAATCCCCTTGGAATATCTACTAGAAGATTTAGGAGTTACGTCTCACTTGGTCAGCAACCGAGCCCCCAGATTTGATAGTGTGTATCAACCAAGAACAATTTTTGAAACATTTACTAGGAAGTATATACAATATACAGTATGTGCGGAAATCCACTGCAGCTGTATAAACCAGAAACAATGTGATTGACAAGATGATTTATAGAAGACTAACATATACTTGGTGAGAATGGCCCTCATAAGCCTGATTATGAACCTATCCATGTGACACAAATTGATATCTGGATTAAGCAAGGTGAACAGGTAACAGTTAAACTTACAGTTAATTATAATATTAGCATGTATAAGATTGCAATATATGATTTGAATATAAGATTCAATAAAAACCATGGCATTAAGTGTCCGTTCACCTAAAAAAAAAAAATAATAATAAATAAATATCAAAATTTCTTATTTTCAATAGAAGCATCATTACAAATATAATAAAATTTCTTTATGTCTTTATAAATTCTATCTTTTTTTAACTTATATTTCATTACACTTCCAAACCTATCAAATAATCTACAAATTATTCTTAAAGAAATTTTCAATTTTTTCTAATTAAAAGAAGAATAATCTTAAAAATCTAAAAATATTATTAAAGAACTTAAGAAATTCTTTATTATTTTCTCTAAAATTTTCTTAATATACTTTGATCTTTTATCTCTAAATTCTTCTTTTATTTCTTTTTTAATTAACTTGAATTAAAAATTTCTCAATTCTTTTACTAGATACTACTATATATAATATTAATAATATTATTAAAAAATATTATTTAAATATTTTTTAAATATCTTTTATTTAATTTTTTCAAGCTTAGAAAACTTTTTTCAAAATCTTTATTTATTATCAATTAATATATTTACAAATTAGAAATTTAAATTCCTATTACAAACCATTATAATATTTAATTTTTAATTAAAACCTAATATTTGATTATTAATTTTTACTTTTCTTAGAATTTTATAAACTAATAATTAAAATTTTTTAAAAATTTTAATAATATAAATTTAAACTTAAACATTAGACAACTTTTTAATAATAATATTTACATTGTTACGGGAAAATCACAGCAAGTCAATTGCTTTGATCTGTTTCACGCTATATAACAATAGGGTCTTGTTTTTGCTCAAAAGAGACGTATGAATTTGGCCAGAATTCATAACATCAATGTAGATCAGTCTATCGATTTTGCGTCCTCAATT